TTATTTATTTATTTATTTTTTGTGTGTGGCCAGCTCAGCCCACCAGGGGGCGGGGCGGGCTGGTATGTGGTGCTGGGGGATTGAGCCATGGTCCCTGTGCTTTGCTTAGCTTAGCTTGTTCTAAGTAGGTGCTTTAGACCACTGAGCCATCTTACCAGTCCCTGTGACTCACATTTTTAAATATATTAGTCCGTTAATATGCTACAGATGTAATATAGTAATGTTATTTTATAAAACCATGACTATACTATGGATGTATTGTTCCTTTATTAAAAGAAACTAGAAGGGGCCGGGGAGATGGCTCAGTGGAATAAGTGCTTCCCTGGCAAGTGCAAGGACCTGAGTTCAATCCCCGGTTCCGGAAAAAAATAAATAAATAAAAATTAAAAATAAAAGAAACTAGAGGGGCCAGGGAGATGGCTCAGTAGAAAAGCACTTGCCTGTCAAGCGCAAGGGCCTGAGTTCAATCCCTGGTTCTGCCAAAAAAAAAAAGAAAGAAACTAGACTGTTGAATCTGAAGTTTTGGGGATTTTGGTTTCGTTTTCCCTCTCCCTGCATGTCGGTGGTAGTGGATAGAATCCAGGACTTTGCAAGTGCTGGGCAAGGGCTTACACTGATGTGTATCCCCAGTTTTTATAAAATTTATGTCAAGATGGAGTCTCTTTTAAGTTGTCCAAGCTAGATAGCAACTTAAGATCCTCTTTCTTGAATCACTCAGCCAGTGCTGCTGAATGAGGCCACAATCTCCTTTTGCTGTTATTATTGTACCTTACTCTCGTAGCCTCCCTATAACATCTATTGTGTGCAAATCCTAACAGAATCTTTTTTTTTTTTAATATTTATTTATTTATTACATTTATTTATTGTGTGTGTGTGTGGCCAGCTCAGCCCACCAGGGGGCGGGGCTGGCTGGCATGTGGTGCTGGAGGATTGAACCGCGGTCCCTGTGCTTTGCCAAGCTTGTTTCAAGTAGGTGCTTTAGACCACTGAGCCATCTCTCCAGCCCCCTAACAGAATCTTAAAGATATCTTCTGTAAATTAAATTTGAAGGAAAGAAAGACATTTTTGCATTTGTTTGAGATTTATTTGTGCATTTCTGATTTTGTAAGCTCTTATCTAGGCTCTTGTATAAGAGAGAGGTATTCCTGGTCTGTTTATAGAAGCTGCAGGTCATCAATACTTTCCTTGAGGTACTTTATTTAGCATACAAAATTTAAACACTCTACGTGTGCATTAAAATGAAAGATACGGGCTGGGGAGATAGCTCAGTGGAATAAGTGCTTCTCTGGCAAATGCAAGGGCCTGAGTTCAATCCCCGGTTCTGCCAAAAAAATAAAAATAAAATAAAATGAAAGATACATTTCAAAAAAAGACAGAGTAGTACTTGAATAATATATCTTAACTAATTTACATCTCTGATACATAATGGTAGGTATTTCCATAAAATTATGGTAAAACTTATTTCAATCATGAAAATTTATTCTGTTTTGTCTTTCAACTCATGTTCAAATTATAGTATGGTCTTTATAAGAAAGATTTAATAGGGGGCCTGCCCTTAGCTCAGTTGTTTAAGCGCCTGCTCATGCAAATATATGACATATATAAAAATATATATACAGTTAACTATTTTAAAACTCATTTTTTATTTAAATTTCATTGCTATTAAAGGTGCTTCACAGAATGATGATGCCTCTAGACCCAAGGATGAAACAAGGTAGGAGTTCACTGATTGCTTACCAGAGAATGCAAAAGGTACATGAAATAATTAATATAGACTTCAGGTTCAGATTGGTACAAAAATAAATGATTGTCAAAGAACTCAAGAGTCAAGATAAAGGGGGAAATATTTATAAAAGATTGAAGATTCAGTTTATCTGACTGTGTCTATTCAAAATAGCCACAGGTGACCAAGTTGCTGATACTTTCTTCAGCTTGAGGAAAGTGAATGTATTGGCACCTTTGAAATAGCAGGGTTACTTGTCAGGAGATCTGGTTTGGCCCTTCTCACCTGTGTGAAAGCCAGTAGCCGTGGTGTCTTCTGGGGCTTCACAGGACAGAGTTATGCCAGCCTGAGCTACATATAATGAGACCTCATCTCAAAAAAGAAAAGTTTTTAAAAACATAGAAACAGTATCTCAGGATAAATCCTGAGGGGATTTCACTGACCTCATCAGATCCAAAAGCTACAACTCTTGTTGCATAGGTCTTGCTTTATGTTGGTCTAAACCATCCAGCAGAAAAGTCTAAAGACGAAGTAGATGAAGTAAAGCCATGCTGTTATGTTGAGCTGTAGGGGACTCAGGTCAGCAATTTCTGACACTGCCAGTCAGGAAGACCCAATACTATTATGGACTACTGGACTCTTTTAGAATATTTTGCTGAGTTTACACACCTATAATATTCAAATAACGGAACTAAACAAAAAAGGGGGTACAGATGAATGTCCATTTTGTATCTGTGTATCCAAAATGGTTAGGATAGATATATAGTTGCATTCTCTTAATGAATAGAGGAATTTGTTGTAATAGTGTTTGTAAATAGGATATCATGTCCTCATCTTGTACAGCAAATAACCACTAGGAAGAATGTATGCAATGTGTTAATTGTTGAAACTATCCTACCAATTTGATTTGAAACTGTCTCATTGCTATTTGTCTCAATAAAATTATGGAAAGACAATAAAAATTAAAAAGGAAAAAAAATAGAAACATACCTGTAGACTGGATGTTTAACAGAAAAGTTCTTGTTTTTTTCATATATCTTAGTATTTTGCTCATCCTCTCTTTGATATAAATAAACCCATGTCTTTTGCATTGGGAATGTGATAAAATTTTATATGCTCATGAAAGATTCCATTGTAGCCTGTGGGATATATGTTGGGTTTTTTTTTTTTTTTTTTGTATGTCTTTTTCTTACAATACTTAATGAAGTTCTCTTTATGTCTGTTTGACTTTTTGTTGTTTTATTTTTTGCAGTACCGGGGATTGAACGCAGGGCCTTGTGCTTGCCAGGCAAGCACTTACTCTACTGAGCTATCTCCCTGGCCCTCTATTTTTTGTTTTTGATACAGGGTCTCACTATGTGGCTCAGGCCAGCCTTGAACTCATAGTGATTCTCCTGTTTCAGATTCCTAGGTACTGGAGGATTATAAGTGTACACCACCACACCTAGCTGTGCTCTTAACGTTTATAAATTTCTTGTAAAGGCACCACTTTAGCATTAGCTTCATGCCATTTATTTAACTAATGCTTTCTGTCTTCACAAGTGAATCACAGGCCGGCCAAATAGCTCAGCAGATTAAAGCACCTGCAAGCAGGTTCAATTCATGGGCCTGCTGTGCCAGCCCAGCCCCTGGGGCGTGCTGAGATGGCAGTTGAGACTGGGCGTGGTGGCGCATGTTTGTAATCCCAGGCTTGGGAGGCTGTAAACAGGCTGATCACTACAAGTCTGATCTAGTAGTGAGAACCTGAACACCTTGTAGACCCTTCCCTAAAATACAAAAAATACGGAAAAAAAACAAGTGAATCATTGTTGTAAATATGTAATTTGAGGGAACAGTGTTTTCTAGGATTCTGGTTTATTTGACCAAGTTTGAGTGTAGTCTTTGATGTTAAAACATAATTCCTATATATTAGCTTTTGTTATAGAGTACTTGGATTTTGGGGGGTTTTTTTAGGGGGGAATTGATAACTTTTTTTTTTTTTTTTTTTTTTTTTTTTTT